GCAGCAGCAGCAGCAGCAGCAGCAGCAGCAGCAGCAGCAGCAGCAGCAGCGGCGCGGGGAGGGGTTTTTCAAGACCAAAATGTGCGCCTTTCACGCCCGCGGCCAGTGCAAGTACGGGGCTGGCTGCAGCTACGCGCATGCAGCCAGCGAAGTCCGCCAGCCCCTCAACTTGCGCAAAACTCGCCTTTGTCTTTCTTTCCAAAAAGGCCGCTGCAGCAGCAGCAGCAGCAACTGCAACTTCGCCCACGGCGCCCACGAACTCCGCGCGCCCCACGGCCTCTACAAGACCCAACTCTGCCTCTTCTGGCTCGCCGGCCGCTGCGGGTGCGCCTTCCCTGGCTAGCTAGCTGGCTAGCTAGCTGGCTGGCTAGCTGGCTAGCTGGCTGGCTAGCTGGCTAGCTAGCTGGCGTGCGGGGCTGCCTGGGTGCGGGCAGCGCGGGGTAGCTAGCTGGGCGCGGGGTGCGGGTGGCTAGCGGGGTGGCTAGCTGGGGAGCTGGCTGGGGAGCTGGCTGGGTGGCTAGCTAGGCAGCTAGCTGGGGAACTAGCTGGAGAGCTAGCTGGGCAGCTAGCTGGGCAGCTAGCTGGAGAGCTAGCTGGGCAGCTAGCTGGGGAGCTAGTTGGTGGCTAGCTGGGTAGCTAGCTGGGGAGCTAGCTGGGTGGGTGGCTGGCTTGGCGGGGAGCTGGATAGATAGATAGGCCGATGGGGAGATAGGTCGCTGGTTTGGGGCTAGCGAGCTAGCTAGCCTGCTGGCCGGTTTGGCTAGCTAGCTAGCCAGCTAGCCAGCTCTCTAGCTAACTAGATAGCTAGCTAGGTAGCTAGCTAGACATCTAGGTAGGTAGCTGGTTGGCTGGCTAGCTAGCGAGCTGGCTGGTGTGGCTGGCGAGGTAGCTAGCTAGCTGGCAAGCTAGCTAGCTAGCTAGCTAGCTAGCTAGCTAGCTAGGGACAGAGACGCGCAGCACAGCACTTAGAGAAGGCAGCTAAAGAAGACACAAAAATATAAAAGCTTTGCATGTACTTTGCATGCTGCAAAGCCCCAAATGGGGCATTTGAATGGCCTTCTGAAGTGTACGTACACCTGCTGTTTCTGCGTGTGCTGCTGCTGCTGCTGCTGCTGCTGCTGCTGCTGCTGCTGTGCTGCTGCTGCTGTGCTGCTGCTGCTGCTGCTGCTGCTGCTGCTGCTGCTGCTGCTGCTGGGCGCTGCAGGGCAGGCCGCAGCTGCCGGCACGCGCACGGAGACGAAGAGCTGCAGCAAAAGCCGCAGTCTCCGGGGCCTCCGCGCAGCAGCTCGCCAGCAAGAAAGGGCCTTGCTGCTGCTAGGGGACACTCGGGGGCTTCGCTGGACACGCTGGCTGGCGGTGAGAGCAGCAGCACGGGCTGCCGCTGCTGCTGCTGCTGCTGCTGCTGCTGCTGCTGCTGCTGCTGCTGCTGCTGCTGCTGCTGCTGCTGCTGCTGCAC